AGTTAAAACGGTAAACTAGAGCCGCCGCTTATCTCACCAGAGGCCTGTACTACGAAGCCGGATTTTCGCTTAGCGAGGTAACTTCAGGGTAAACTCTGGGTTTCCGGTCCTATGACGCTGGTTCTCTTCTTATCGGGCTAGATCTCCATGGTAACTTATGCCGAACGGCAAACCTGCTCCGGAGGTTTGTTCCAGGATAAGAGATCAACTCAGTGAAAGCACCGCCTGCTGACCAATCAGAGCTCTGTGTGTGGAGTTTAAAGCTATCAAGTCATATTACAGGATAAAGGAAATACAGAAAAACTGCCGTTGCAGGAAAGACGGGCGGCAAAAATCTACTGACTGTGTGAACGTGAACATTAATAAAATATCCCCTCCCATCTTCAGAGCAATCTGACTATTATAACATTAGCGTTAAGAAAGCTTACTTAAATATCTGCCACAACAAAAGTAACCGGATCAGAGTAACATTAAGTACAGCCCGCGGCACTGTGAGTGCAGACGTCGATGTGTCCCATTATCATTCATATCATATCACATCATAATGTATCATATATTTCCTTATCTGAGTCAGCTTCTTGAGCCGTATCTGGACGTGCAACACTCAGTGACACATACTGTATGCAGAAGTATTATTTTAAGCAACACATTAAGTTGACGAAACACTCGAGTCAAATGTAATTAAAGTCAGATCCACTCGTGTCTTAGACGGAGCAGTGATATCATAAACCTGTTGATGTACGCATTCAAACACTTTTTCTGTTACCAGCTGTATTCACCTTGCAGGTGCAGCTATGTGGCTTTCATCCTGGATAAAGTGTTTAAGTCATGGATGTTTAAAGTTTAACGTCTTCATATTTGTCTAATATTATAGTTTTCTTTTCATTCAGGAAGTATGACGCTGCGCTGTCAGTACGCTTCTCCATGTTTGTGATTGGTCAAATGTTGCTAACCCCGCCCCTTTCATGTGAACGCGCACTCAGCCGGACAGAGAAACCCTGGCTTGAGTTACCGAGTTGATAACCAGCATCGTAGGACCGCTTAGCGAGATCGCGTTTGTTTTGGGTTAGTTAAGCCAGATAACTCAAACGTATCTAGGGTCTGTTGAACAGGGGCCTATACTACGAATCTAGTTCAACATATCCTGGATATGTTTTGAGTTATCTGGTTGAATTAATAAAAAAAAATCCGCTCTCGCTAAACTGTCCTACGACGCTGGCTATCAACTCGATCGCTCAAGCCAGCCGTGTCCTATCTAGTTAGGTGCGCGTTCACATAAAAGGGGTGGTTCTGGAGCGATCGACCAATCACAAACATGGACAAGCCGCGTACTGACAGCGCAGCGCGTCATACTTCCTGAATGAAAAGTCAACTATAATATTAGACATATGAAGAAGTTAAACTTTAAACATCCATGACTTAAACACTTTATCCAGGATAAAAGCCACATAGCTGCACCTGCAAGGTGAATACAGCTGGTAACAGAAAAAGTGTTTGAATGCGTACATCAACAGGTTTATGATATCACTGCCCCGTCCAAGACACGAGTGGATCTGACTTTAATTACATTTGACTCGAGTGTTTCGTCAACTTAATGTGTTGCTTAAAATAATACTTCTGCATACAGTATGTGACACTGTGAGTGTTGCACGGCCAGATACGGCTCAAGAAGCTGACTCAGATAAGGAAATATATGATACATTATGATGTGATATCATGTGATATGAATGATAATGGGACACATCGACGTCTGCACTCACAGGACGTAATGTTACTTTGATCCGGTTACTTATGTTGTGGCAGATATTTAAGTAAGCTTTCTTAACGCTAATGTTATAATAGTCAGATTGCTCTGAAGATGGGAGGGGATATTCTATTCATTTTCACGTTCACACAGTCGGTGATTTTGGCCGGCCGTCTTTCCTGCAACGGCAGTTTAAACTGTATTTCCTTTCTCCTGTCATATGAATTGATCGCTTTAAACTCCGCACACTGAGCTCTGATTGGTCAGCAGGCAGTGCTTTTATCCTGGAACCTATCCTGCTCCGGAGGCTAGCCGTTCAGAATAAGTTATCTAGCCCGCTAAGAAGTGAACCAGCGTCGTAGGACCGGAAATCCAGGAAGTTAGCTCGCTAAGCGAAAATCCTGCTTCGTAGTATAGGCCCATGGATTCGTAGTACAGGCCTCTGGTAGAGAAACACGAGAAGCAGATTCAGCCTGAGGACGCTTTATGTGATTCTTCCCCTTTCAATTCTGTTTCTCTAATAAAGGCTAAAGTTGCCACAAGATGTTCTATTCACATGGCAAACGGATGAGATTGTTAAAGTAGAAACTAACCTGAAGTGGATTTTGAGATATTCAGCCTATCTATCTTGAGTTTATCTACTTCAATTATTTACATTAAGAAATAAATAAGAGCCTGATAATATGTGGTGGTTATAGCTGTAATATTGACAGAAATGTATATAGTTTTAATAATCAGAAGAATCAAAAAAATATAAATACCATATATTTACTGCAATTCTAAAAGTCTGCATAAGAAGGTCTGCTCATCTGTTGTTCTGTTCCTCATGAGCAGCAGCGAGGTGAACAGTGGAGTCTGCTGGACAAACTCAGTAATGATCGCACTTCAAAGTATTACAAGCTTAATATATATATATAAATATATATATATATAATTTAATTAATATCAACGTCCATACACAAATGTCAGTATTATAATGACACGTTACGCAATGAGAATATACATTTAAAGTTACAATGTTCCGCGCTAATCAAACAACAAACATCTCAACCCCCAAATTACGCAAAACTACCTTCAACACACGCATATTGCTTAATCTTTAAAACATTTTGATCTGTATATTTTCTGTTTCATTTTATTTGTTGGTACGGGATTATTATTATTATTCCGGCCTACGTACTTGACTTTGTTAAATTCTTACCTTGTGACTTGAAATATTATTTTGTATAGCTTTTGAAACCTATTTATCATAAAGTCTGTTATTATTTTGTCATACAATTTGAGGTTCTTTGAGAGAACATTTTTTAAAAGCTCGGCCCCCCCATCCACCCCCAAACTAACATTTGATCTTGTACCAGGTTGCCACTCGTTTTAAAGTGATGCTGTAACGTAAAGATGTTTTCGCCTTGCACAATGACATAAAGAAATCATTCCAAAGATTTGTTTGTATCCTTTGTTAAGTCAATATCTATCGCCATATCAGGTAACACTAGTGTGATAAAAGCATTTATTGAAAATAGATCCCCTTACAGAGGTCATGCAGAATCAGGGCTAAAATATATATTCAAGTATGTTACAGTGTGTGATTGTGTACAAGTAGAAAGGACAACAAGGGTGATGAATCAGGAGAATTTTGGGAACAGGGTTTTCTGACAAATGAATGATCATCATGTGATTAAAGTGTGTCAGAGTGAATCAGTGATGGGGTATTTTTGTAGGCCGCCGAACCAAAAGTTAGCAACGCAAGGGCTCCCTCGAACAAAAGCAATGAGATTACTATGGATTTAGTTATAGAGCAGGAAACAAGATCTGTGCCAAACACACGTTTATGATACTTACATGTTTTTTTCAGCAGGATAATCTCCACATAGTGACACCTCTTATATGAATTTTGAGGCATTCATTCAATTGCTAGTACAAATCTTAAGGCTATAAACAAAAAACATCACAGTCGCATAGCTGCGCACCACCATGGCTGAGCTGAAGGCAGCTAATGTTCAGTGTGATAACGTTAAGTAGTTTAGTCACTTGTTAGCAGTGGCGTTTTTATATGTACAAAAGTGGTGGGGCACGAACAACTTAGATGTGTATATAAGCTTCTGGTGCTTTTTTAAACACGTAAACAAATAGCTGTAGGCTATTCATGGTTTCCGATAGAGAGAGGGGGGGGGAGATCACAGAAGATCAACAAACGATATGACATAAAATGAATTTACCAAAGCTGAAGTAGATGGTCAACTTCATTCATTTTCTTTCCGTTTTACTGATTTTAATCGCTATAAGCTGCTCTCTCTCGTCTCCTCTTCACATCTAAACTTTTCGCGGCACACGTACTTACAGCCAATCAGCTCTCTGAATTATGAGATGACGTATGGTGGGTATGGCAGCACAGTGCCCCTATGGTGATTATTTTTTTGCCGCACACATTGAATAGAAAAATACTAATAGTGTAGTTTTTACAGTACACGTTCATTTTAACAGCAGAGAGAGGGGCTTGCCCCACATCGCTCAACACAGCTCAATAGGCACACTGTAGACACTAATTAGAAGAACGCAGACTAAAACAGCAATGTACAGACAAATCAGATGACTAAACATGATCTTAAAATATATTTTAACATGTATTTCTTTTGCATATTTTGGGAATTATTATTTGCATTACTTTCTGCTGACACTAGGTGGGGCTGTGCCGAGTCGCCACTGCTTGTTAGCAACCGCTTCTTTTAAAGGTCCCATGTCATGCTTTTCCGGTTATTACTCGTGCCCTTGTGTGTTATGTAGCTTTTTCTGCATGTAAACGGTCTGCAGAGTCAGAAACCCTCAAAGTACACCCTGTAGCGAGTACAACTATTGCACAATATAAATGTATTTTAGTATACCTTAACAATGGAATTATGATCAGTAGAAATGGCCATGACATGGGACCTTTAAGAAACATGGAAGCTTCAGACATCCACCAGTGGGGTATTTACTGACTCATTTGTAGAACAAAACATTACAATCTCTTCAGCTTGTGTTAGCCACAGACCACTTAACTACAAGACGAGGGAACCGAAAGTAGTAAAATACTTTCTCATTTCCAGGTTTTAGGACTCATTCCGTCACAACTCTATAGTGAGGAATTGCTGTTTTTTCTGTGCACGTTTGTGACTTGATCAGAGGAAAGACTCATTGAAACAAAACACTAACACAGAATCTGTTTAAGCAAAAGTGAGTTTTGACTATTTGACAGAATCAACACATTTAAAGTACTCACCCTCCCTCACTCTCTGCTTCCTCTGAGCTCCGCCCCCCGGCTGCGGCCCCGGCGATGGATGCTGCAGCTCTTTTCCTCCGTGTGGGCGTGGTCCTGTGGAGGGTGCTTGCTCGATGGGCCTCCTCGCGTCCCATCAGCTCCTCCCTGACTTGGTTGGGCAGCGTCGGCAGAGCGTTCTTCAGCGACTTCATCTCGTCCTTCAGCTCGGACACGCACTGGATCAGGGCCTCGAGGCGCTCCAGCACCTCGGCCTGACCCCTGGGCAGACCTGGACCGTCCACCAGCATCATGCTAGTCCCCTGTCCGTTGGTGCGGTTCAGGTAGTACCCCGGACATGACGCTCTTCGCCTCGATCTGAAGCCCTGGTACCACACCACAGCCAAACTGACGCCTGCCACTCCGGCTAAAGCCCCCAGGACCAGCACCTTGCTGTCTGCCTGCGCCATCCTGAAGGGCTGACAAACACATTTAAGCTACAGATTTCATAAACATTTTGCTGAAATTGCATTATGGAATTCTGAAAGATTTGGGGCTTACAGTGCCTAATCGATTTGTCTTTAGATTCATTTAGCAATTGATTAGATTAGTTTCAAATGTATTGTCATTGTACAGAGTACTGGGACAATGAAATGCAGTTAGCATCTTACCAGAGGTGCAAGAGAAGCAGTACATTGTAGTGTAATGTAAAGGTATAATATAGGTATTTAAATATGACTGATAATACAGCTAATGTATATACGGTTTGAACAGTATTAATGGGTATACGCTTTAGCAATAAGAAGGAGAGGCGTGTGGCGCAGTGGATAGAGCCTTGGTATGAGGATCAGATGGTCACAGGTTCAAACCCCACTGCAGTCAGCATGTCGTTGTGTCGCTGGGCAAGACACTTCACCCCAAATTGCTCCTGTGGGGATTGCCCACAGTATTGAGTATGTAAGTCACTTTGGATAAAAGCGTCTAACAAGTGACATGTAATATAATGTAATAATGTTGAATGTGCTACAAAAGTTGAACAACAGAAAGTATAATATAGACAGTAGTATACATATGAATGCTCTATAAACCATTATAGACACTTTGCATTGATAATAGGAACATTCTAGGAGTACACTATAGAAGAAATAACAAGTATGGGTGTGAATAATCATTGAGTTTATACAAATATTGCCTTAATAAAATAGTTTAAAATGCTCATTAGTTGTTCAGCGCCCAAGATGAAACATGCTATTGCTTGTTTCATTCTGGTAACAGTAAAAAAAAACAAAGATATAGATAAAAAAGAAAAAACCCCTGCAAATCCTCAGGTTTTGCTAACAATTGCAGCATTAATTAGCATTTCAAATGAAAATTTGTTAAACTAATTATTAAAGTTAACTATTATAATTTTATTTTTTAACTTTTTTGTTTGCAATACAATCAATAAGTCAACCTCTTTGTACCTAAAACCATTGGTTTCATCTTTAGAGATGCATTATGTAAAATGTTTACAATGTCAACATCTGTATCTGAAATGTATCTTAAACTGTCAAATATAGTAAAAAACACAATATTTACCTATGAGATGATGTCACAATTAATGGAAATACTTAATTAAAGTACAAGTAATCCAAAAAGGTACTTCAGTACAGTACATAGAGTAAATAACGCTTCCACCACTGAACGTGATACACGATTGACAAGAGGGTGAATACTGTCAGTCTGAAACAGGCTAATCGGTACGTTAGGAATGTTAGCCAGTAAGCTAAAGGTGATTGGACCAACATACTCTTCACAAAGCTAGCTTGTTAGCCAAAAGTCGGAGTCACAACAGCTCGATAAACCTTTGACACACTGAGAAACGTATTGTCTGACTGGGTCTTAAGCATACGTGTATTAAATGTATACTTTCATAATTAAGCTTAATTGTGTTTATTAGCTGTCAATGACAGAATTCGTGCTGCTAACGTAGCTTAAAGTCGATTTGCTAACACTCAAAACAAAGTTACCCGCCAAGGTTAAAAGGACAGAACGCGTTCAAATGCTCACTTTCAGCATTATCTTATCAAAACAAAACGTTACATTAACATGTTATTCATAGAAAACTACATAATTATCAATAGTAGAGTCCTTACTGCACAGGTAAGAAGGGAGGCACTTGGTAACTCGCTGGTGTAACCTTCAAAACAATCCGTGTGGACTCAGAAGACAAAAAGAAACGTTCCGGGTCATGTGCGTCAGCCTTCAAACACAAATTACTTGCGTGTTATTTTGAAGTAGCGCAGATAAATCCTCAGCATAAAAACGGCATAAAATTATATATCACAACGTTTTTGACTTCCAACGTTTAAACTGATGTCACCACTGCTGCTTGTCATGAGCTCTCTGTGGGGAGTTTGCATGTTTTCAATGGGTGCCCTTGATAGGAAACTACATTTCCATTTGTGTGGTCTGTTTTGGTTGTTATGTAATGTTCCGCCCCCTGACTCAAAGACCCTGAACATGTCTAGAAAACAAATGACATTTACATCCTTGTTGACGAAACAGGGAGGCTTTCATCATTATTATTAATTCTTCCCCATGAACTGCAAAGGCTTTTCCGAATCAACTCTCTGTTATGAGGCCTCCCAGGCTATAGTAACTGTATGACAAAGGCTTTTCTGAATCAACTCTCTGTCATGAGGCCTCCCAGGCTATAGTAACTGTATGACAATATGATCCCTATTGGAATATGAGAGACCATTTTTGATCTTACGATTCTTCCTGACTGTGCTGACCTTTGAGGTTGTGTTCATCGCCGTTCTGCATTTCCAATACGACACAGGGCATTTGCACTCATATACTTTATACTGAAACATACTGGCAGCATCCTATTCTTTATGTAAACAAAATAATATCCTGTCTTATTACAATGTTTTGTATCTTCTGATGACATTTGACTTAAAATAGCACCATTTTTTATGTAGTGTACCTACAAAATAATGTATCTTTAGTCTGATTTTCCTTCTAAATGCATAATATAATAAGCATGAATAAATCAAATGATTATTGCACACATTAAGGTTTGATTTGTTAGTTTATTTTTTATCATTTGCCTCAGAATATTATGCCATCTCTTTCATTAACCTTATAATTTCCACATGCGAGCGAACAATCAGTGAGCAAAGTTCAATGCAGGGCAGGGTTACAACAGTTCAGGTATTGCGTTAAATAATACAAATGATTAAAACAGGTAATAATAACTTCAATCGAAGAGACTCATCAATTGTTGCAAGATACTTTACAAGTTTAAAAATAATGTTTTTAGTCTCATTTCAGGAGTTGCACCTATACAAATGAATATGGTTGTATCATAATCTCTCATGAATCATATTTCAGTAATTAGCTAAACAAAGACCTACCTCTACGATTCACTCCTCTCACCAGTGTTTCCTTGCAGTATGCTTACACAGAAAGTGTACCAGGATGTTAAACAGTTACTTAGCACACAGGTTATCTTATAAACCATGGACCTGCAGCCAGTATCACAGACCCGATATCACTGGGGATTATTGAGAGTCAGAGTGGTTAAGTAATGATTGACTTGTTTTCTACCATAGCCAATAAAACCAAACCGAAGATGTGGAATCTCTGTTATTTTTCTATTTGTTGTACTTTTTTCAACTTTCATGTATGATCCTAGTAAGACGTGAGTGTCTTGTATAGTGGGAGGAAATATAGAAAAACTGAAATAATTTGTAAAGCAAATAAGTATGATCATTTATAATAAACCTGGAATACTGCATTTCCCAGCTTTGAAAGAACTATCCTTCCATCAATATTTGTGATTTATCCTTTTGTGATTTTATCTTTCAGGACATTTCATACTTATTTTTAAAGTTATATAAATGGGATGTTTATTTCACTTGTCAGAGGCACTCTACAGTAAATGGTTGTTTATTCCAGCCTGTAGAGCGGTGACAGGCCTACCTGCTTGGAAACCGGTATCAAGGAGTTCCCTTGCATAATATGATGTAAGGATTGCTACGTGCAGTTTCCTACCTGCGCTCTGAGTACAGTATTGTTCCTTAGCCCACAGCCTGCATTCTGCCTGCACAGGGAACAAAAAGCCGACCTGAAACCCGGAGGCATGGCGCTGCAAATAAAAAAATAAAATAATAACTTGCCCAGCAGTTCAGGGTTGGCCCTGCAGATGTAGATGAGTCGATAAGGCAGACGCATCCAGCCGTAGCCTTGCTACCCATCGGGTCAAAGCCAGAAGATAAGGAGATATTGTCAACACTGTCGTTTTATCCACCCACACCCAACATCTGCCAAAACTCTCTTACAACACATACAAATAAGATAAAATAAGGTAAAATAAGGCATGGCTATGATGGGTCAGGGTTAGGTACATTACAAAGAAACTCTACATTGCGGAACATTAACCAAACATTTGTATATACGTTAATAATTAGAATGAGTAGTTACTTGTTTCTATCATTGTGGCATTAGCCATTTTCTACCAGGATATTAATATTCAAAACAATTTTCACTATGAGCTATCTTCTGATATGACAACTTGTATTGATTACACCTGAAACCAGGTATACAAATTAAAAACGTGGAAAAGTGTTGACATTGTGGAGCCCAATCTTCTCGTGTGCATGAGGCATCTATTTCAAAACTAACTTCTGTAACATCTGCGTGCCGTGTTTACAGATACTTTAAGGATTCATTCAGCTGTGAAGATGCAGCAAACGTGTTGTGTAAGATAGCACAATAGCACTCAGCAATAGTGTTCATCATGAGCAATGGGGTGGTCTAACTCGTATGTCTACACTTGCTTTGCTGATGTCTATCTCAGATTCAGGAACTCAGTGTTCTTATTCTCAGGCCCACAGGGAGACTGAGTTTGCTATTTGCCTGAGTGGCCAAGGAAACATAATATTCCCTTGACAGGAACAGATACTGAAAGATCATAATGGGTTTCATTTGTGTGCATAGTAGAGGAACATTACAGTTCATTTACTTGCATTGCATTGACGATTCAGTATTGTGAATTGTGATTCAATCGACATAAAAATGGTAAAAATCAACAACTAGATATCACCACTAAACATGATTTACAATACTTACACAGACATTATCCTTTTCTAGAAACTGGTTTTGCTGAAACTCAAGGTCTTAATCAACCAACACCCTGAAACGTTATTGAATATTAATAGCTTAGATATTCAAATGTTTTGTTTATCTGTTTTGGCAATACATCTTATACAGTTGGAAAGCCTGTTTTCTTACCTTTCCAATGGTAGCACATGTGTGAGGAACAAGCATTTGTTGCAGCAGAGCTGAGTATGTGGCCATTAAAAATGTGACAAATCTCCTCTGCCAATGCCAAACAGCTTTTTTTGCTGCTGACTCTAGTTTTGTGTCATTTGGTGGATTGGATTGAAAAGAAGCATTGTTACAACAACTAAATAATCTACCAAACATAGAAATCATCTACCAAACACAAATTGCCTCACTTTTTGTGTTAAGTTTACGTATGGTCAAATAAAGAAGTTGGTGTAAAGCAGAGCCACGGCAAAAAAGCGTACTCCAAAGAGTAGAAAAGGTTTCTACATCCCATACTCAAACTGGACGCTGGTTCTACAAGAGAAGCTTGACCGCTGAAGGCTCTGGTTCCAATTATACGTTTGGAGACACTATAAACCACAAGTAACCTTTATTTCTGTGAACGCAGCTTTCGGGCCAAGTACAATAATTGCACTTTGAAATGTTGACTTGAATTAAGTCTATTGTGTCAACAAACGTCACATCACAGTACTAGGTTGGTTGAAAGCAATAATATTGAGTTGAACCTAACAGTTTTTATTTGAACTTATTTTATTGTTTTTAACTAACCTAATACAGTTATGTGAAATCTATTAAACGACATAATATATTTAAATAAAGTAAACGTTTTAGTTCTTTGAGTGTCTGGTTTCATCTGGCTTAAAGGTGGGGTAGGTAAGTTAGAGAAACCGGCTCGAGATACACTTTTTGTTATATTCCATGGAATGCTCTTAACATCCCGATAGCAATGAATATCTTAAGTGCTTTGACAAAAAATCCATAAAAAAATATCATCTGTGGAAGCCGTAGTACTGTAAAAAGCACGATCAATTATTTAAGCCGGCCCGGCTAAAATAAGTGGATGGCCTACCTGCCTGTCAGCCTTCCATCTGTGCACAAACTTATCTCGTGCCCTCATTGGTCATGTGCGCGTTCGTGTGTGTTGGAGGAGGGGCTCTGTAAGGAAGTGGGAGATTTTTTCCGGCTGTGTATTTTCAAATTCTAGCGATCTCGAGCTGGTTTCTCAAACTTACCTACCCCACCTTTAACTAAAGGGACACATCAATCGTTGTGAGTTACTTTATAGATCTTAAATAAAATGTTTTAGGCGGATTTGCATGTGTTGTATGCAAATGGTTAATACATATTATAAACATAAATATTTTTTGTCTAAATCCTGATAATATAATTAGAAAAAAAACACCTACATCTTATATTCACTCCTCTAACCGGTATTTTCCTGAAGTTAGTTTGGACAGATATGCATCAGAATTTTAAACAGTTAATTGTTAATAGTTACAGTTGCACAGGTTATAAACTATGCACCTGCAGCCAGAATTTTGTTACAAATCAGACCGGAGATTATTGATATACTTTGAAAGGTTAACTAATGATTGACTTGTTTGCCACATTCGATAAAAGCCAACTGAAGATGCAACATTAAAGAGGCCCTTTTATACTTTTTAGGTGTTCCCTTTCCTATAGCGTGTAATATAGGTTTGTTCTGCAAAGGCTAATATTTCTCTCCCGCACACCCCCCCCCCCCCCTTGCCTGAAACGCCTCCATTCTCCTCTGTTTACTTCCATAACATAGTGACATCACTATGTAACACTCACACTTGTATTGGCTAGCGCTCCATCAAATTAATAATAATAATAATAATAGCTTGCATTTATATAGCGCCTTTCAAGGGACCCAAGGTCGCTGTACAGTAATAGGGCAAAAACAAACATAACAAAACAAAAGTCAGACAGACAAAACAACAGATCGATTAAGGGCCGAAAGCCATGGCAAACAGATGGGTCTTGAGGGCCCTTTTGAAGGCGTCGAGTGTGGGGATGTTGCGAATCTCCGCAGGGAGAGCGTTCCAGAGGGTGGGGGCTGCCACACT